ACACAATGTGATAGAAATAGAAATAATATTGAGATTTTTAAAATTTGCTTTGTCACTTTTTAGTCACTTTAGGCAGAACTCCGCAGATGTTTCTGGAGATGGGTATGTGATTTGGATCTAAGGATATTAACTAGCTGTTCCATCTGTTTGACAAGATCATGGTAAAGAGCAAATGTGAAATGGAGTGTTTTCTCATTTAAGTATTTTTGCTAGAAAACAATCCTCAATGTTCCAGTAAAAATTACTTTCAAATGCTTAAAATTTTGTTAATAACAAGCTTTGAGGTGTTGACTGATCACTTTTTAAAAACCAAGCAATTCTGGGCCCGGCGCGGTGGCGCAAGTGGTTAAGTCCTCGCCTTGCACGCCCGGGATCCCATATGGGCACCGGTTCTAATCCCGGCAGCCCCGCTTCCCTTCCAGCTCCCTGCCTGTGGCCTGGGAAAGCAGTCGAGGACGGCCCAAAGCTTTGGGAACCTGCACCCGCGTGGGAGACCCGGAAGAGGCTCCTGGCTTCGGATCGGCATAGCATCGACCGTTGCGGCTCACTTGGGGGGTGAATCATCGGACGGAAGATCTTCCTCTCTGTATCTCCTCTCTGTATATCCGCCTTTCCAATAAAAAATAATAAAAATAAATCTTTAATAAAAAAAAAAAAAAACCAAGCAATTCTGAATCTGTTCCACCTTGTGAAAGGAGGGAATAGCTGAAAATCAGTGTCACCTCATATGACCTTGTCAAGTAGCACAGCATGGCCTGTAGGGGGAGCCATGCATCGCACAGAATTCAGACCCTCCCATTGACACTTATTAACTCAACTCTTCTGTCAGCGTCCGTAAAATATGAGTCATGTGGTTCGGTGTGCTGAGCCACTTGTGATGTCAGCATCCCACATCAGAGTGCTTCTACTTCTGATGCCACTTCCAATGCACCGGGGAGGCAGCAGATGATGGCCCAAGTACTTGGGCTCCTGCCACCCATGTGGAACACCAGGATGGAGTTCCTGGACTGCTGACCTTGGCCTGGACCAGCCTCAGTGGTTGCAGCCATGTGGGAAAGTGAACCATCACACAGATCTCTGTCTCCCTCTCTATGTAACTTCACCTTAAAAAATATATGTCTTTTAATAAAAAAAAAAAAAAAAAACCTAAGGTGTCTCTGGATTGGGAGAAGCTTGAGTTAACATCACAAACATGGAATGAGCATGAAACGCTGCCAGTACGATGAATTGTCCATGGCTTTCCTGAGGTGGGAGACCCCTGCAGTGCCCAGGGCTAAGGAAATGTCCTCCGGAGTCTACCATGTTCTGGGTCTCCCTCTGTATTGGCTGACCAGGTGCATGCCACACATACATCTCTCTGTGCACAAACCCCCATCCTGTACAATCACATTCTCATATTGATACAATTATTCCATCACAGCCCCAATACACCCATGCCCCCAGATCCCTCCACAATACAACAAAACAAAAACCCCTTCACTCCCACCAAAACCCTCTTAACCAGATAGCATAGAGTAGACAGCTCCTGAGTGTTAGCAGCCACTGCACTAATGGGCTTGGGTATCATTTGGCCACAAAAATGCCGGCAGGTTTCCTCACGCGCAGACTTCATATACATGTTTTTGCACACCTTTTATCTATGTGACCGATGGCACACTCACAAGTGAATACACTTCATGCAGGGGGTCACTGTGTTTAGAATGGCTGCTGACTTTGCTTCTCTACTTTGTTTCTCCATCATCTCAATTAGTATAAAGCTTGTGAGATAGTACAACTTATATTACTTATACTTAGCTTCAAAACAGACCTAATCTACTTTCCCTCTTTCAGAGGAATTTTCTGTATTTTTCCCAGAAATTCTAGGAGGGCAGCAGAGGTAATGGAGTGAGCAGCAGTGGCCTTAGGTCAGGTTCTTAACTATTGAAGACCATGGACTGTAGACTACCAACCAGGATGTGGGCCAGGGTAGCTCTCCCTTCCTTGCCAGCCCCTAGGCCACCTGGGCTGCCAGGGGATGGGGGGAGAGGAGAAACGCAAGACATGGGATGCGGCATTCTCTCTGACGCCACTGCCCACTGACGGCCTGTGTAGTCAGGTCCAGTGCTTCCATTTTAGTTATTCCCAACCTCCTACTTCCTCCTCAGGGGCTAGCTTTGTTTCTTCCTTGCAAAATATGCTCTCAAGCAAGGATATAGGATCTCTGAGGTTCCAAGAGGTAAACTCTTCAGAGTGAGGAAGTTGCTCTTGAAGGCCACAGGCCACAGGAGGGGCCCCAGCTCAGGAGGTTACCCTGACCCTTCCGGCTTCTTCTAGCAGAGCCATCAAGTGTGCGTCACACGGGTGCATGGGTGAGTGTGACCCCAATGGGGTGTCTGCCTGGCCACTGGAGCCCCATGGGTGCCGAGAGCTCAGAGAAGAGAGGTCCTTTATGGTTCAGATCATAAAACAGTAGGCCTTGGCTTTAGGGCCTTGACTGTCCCCTGAGGGGCAGCAAGCAGGAGGAAACCACCCACAGGGTGGGCAGGTCCTAAGTTCTCAGCCTGTCCCCAAGAAACCTACAAAGCAGTCCTTCCACCAGCATGAAGAGCAACAAAGAGTCACCCTGCTGGAGGGCGCCAAAGAGCACAGGCGTTGGAGAGAAGCTGGAACTTTTTATTCTAGAGACTCTAGGAGCACAGGAGCAGAATTGCATGGAGAAGCTTTAGCTGTTGTCCAGGTACAACCCTTCCATAAAGTCCTTCTTCCTGGGGCTATTTCTGGGTCAGAATCCTCCCCATGCCGCCCCAGTTTCCAGCCCTAGACTTACAGCCCACCTCCACAGCACACAGCAAAACCAGACTCCTACTACCTGTGCCGAATGACTGACAAGCCTCGGGCCAGCAAGTCAGGGTGTGAAAAGAGGAACAGAACTGAGACAGTACAAGAAAAACTAAGAAAGAATCGTACCAGGGCAGGCTGGGGTTGGAGGAGAAGGCCACTGACAATACAGTTCCCCACCCCCTGGCAATGTCTGTACTTACCAGTTTGTCAGCTTTGTCCCACATGCTTTCCCCAAAGCAGTGATGACACCAACAGCTACAATGAGGCTCCTTGCAGTTCCACATTTTTATTTCCCTGGCTGCACAGAGAAAAATAAAACTTGCCTGATGTGGAGAAGGTGGGAGGGGCAGACTCCTAGGGGGGGAAATGAGGGACAAATAGACAAAAGCTTTTTTTGTTTGTTTTTTAATGAGAAGAAATGTCCAAGACAGATTCCAGCTCCCCGGTTATCAGGCTCCTTGGATGCTCCGTTTGGAACTTGATCTTTTTTTCTTTTTCTCTTCCCTGGTTGACTTGCTCCTAGGAAACAGCGTCCTGGAGACTAGGAGCCTCTGGTTTTCCCAGGGGGTTCCAGGGTGTCCACAAAACCAGAAGTGGCAGCCTCTCTTGCAGTATGCATCAGACCATTCATGATTCTGAGAACAGGAATACCTAAGTCGTGGCTCTGGGTGGCCCTCACCCAACTGCCTTAACTCATGCTGCCCAATCCACGTTGCACCTCTTGCCTCTCGCAGTGCCTTCCCTCTAACTTTCCCTCTGGTCCAGAATGACCTCCTGGTGCTGGTGGGTCCTGCCACCTGCCTCACGGTGAAGGGCCCAGGACAGCTTGCTCCCAAGGGGAGCTGCTGGCCATTGCCAAAAGCAGCCCCTCCAGGCAGCCGTGGATCATCTAGACTCCAACCCCCATGCACCTTCCACCAAGAGGCTGCTGCTTCTCCCAGTCCCATTCTCTGCCCACTCAGAAGATTCACCTGGGATCCCCAGTCTCAGGTGATGCATTCATGGGCATGCCCAGTGGGTGTCTGAAGGACCTGGCTTGCTGTGGTGTTTGTGGGCATGTGCACCAAGCAGACAGGGATCCCTGGCTGTCCCCAGCTCCATGTGGCTGGTGCTAGTTCTGCATCTCCTAGGAAATTCCTCTGAGTTTTAAGTTTTGGTGCATCAGGGAATGGAGAAGAAAGGAAGGGAAAAGCCATGTTACCATGGAAACTGAGGAGGAACAACACCTCTGCCTCTGTCGGATATTCCCACAGAGGAGCTGTAGAGATGGCCTCTTCTTCTAGTCAGGAGATGCTGGCTGCCCAGACACATCCCCTGGGCCAAGGAGAGGGTCTCCGCTGTCTGCTCTGAAACCCAATGCCTTGGGATCTGAGATTTCCAGGACATGCATTAGACAAAGACACACTGCAAACCACTTAACCCTCTGAGCCCTTCTGCTACCCTCGATCCAGTAACCTCTGAGGAAAAAGTTACCTGAGTCCACCAACCACTTGCCCTCTGGCTGGAGCCAAAAGGGAGTGGACTCCTCCAAAGGGCTTAGACAGTGAAGTCAGAGAAAGCCCTGGGGGAGGCAGATCCTTACTCTAACCTGGAACCTTTGTCCTCATTTGGCACTTTGGTGCCACAAGTAACTCTCCTTGGGGAACTAGGAATAGGACCTGGGGGACAGGCTCAAAACCCAACTGGATTCAGACCCTCAAGACTGACCACTGTTCAAAGTCAGTGCTCAGGAGGGAGCTAAGGGCTGGGAACAAACAGAAGGCTGGGTGTGTGGAAGGAAGCCAACAAAGACCTGAGAATCGGCTATCAATCAGGTCTTTACTATCTGCCCAGTTACAGGGAAAGGAATTTCAGCTGCATTTAGCTTTTTGACCCTCAGTGATTTAGAAATGTCCACTAGAATTTAGCTGCTCTCTGTCCCTCCAAGATAGGACCCAGGACAAGCAAGGGGAGCAACAAGACAAGCACACTATTATTCACAGTTTCCACTCTCCTCCCCAAACCTCCCCCCAGACCCCCAAAACCCCATCACTGGCCTCAAGGAACTCCCACACCTCCAATGCACAATGACTCTCACAGTGTGGCTCAAAGGGTTAAAAAAAAAAAAAAAAAAAAAAGGACTTCTCAGACAGGACACAAGCTCATTCACCAACAGGAACCGAGAACAGCTACACCACAGCCTAGTGCTTCTTGTAGCGGTTCTTGGGGGTTTCGCCACACCCTGTTTTGTCACAGTTGAGAGCACCTGGATTCTTCCCAAGCCCCAGGCTCCCCAGGAGGCTGGGCAGCTCCTGAGTAATGGCCCGCTCAATCTTCTCCAGAAAGCAACCTCCCATGTAGGAGCACTGCTGGGAGAGGAGTTTGAAGCTGGAAATGGGATTGATACCAAAGAAGTCCTTATAGGCCTCGCGGTTGGGAAGGTCAAATTTGCTGACGTTGGTCTTTGCCAGGATAGTCTTGAAGATGTAGAATTTATCAGGATCTTCCACAATGTCCTTAAAGACTAGTTCTCCATCGCTGAAGAAGGTCATTTTGTCCTTGTAAGTCTGCAGGTAGCGGTCGACCAGGAGGGCGTGAATACGCACCCGGATGGCGTGCTGGCGGATGAAGGCAATCTTGTTCTCCAACCTGTTCTCGATCACCTGGTTCAGGTCTTCCAGGAGGGAGATCTCTTCTTTGAGAAACAGTTCACGATGAGTATTGGGCTTATAGTCCTGTGGCCAGAAGGAGCTGACGTAAACCCTCGGGGGCTCCGTGACGTTGATGAGAGGGGCCAAGCTCCAGAAGAGGGCTCCATAAACCCGCATAAGCATTTGCGTGGCCAGGTTGTCGGCCTTGTTCAGGATGATCCTTATCTGGGATTCACGCCCCTTCAGCTGGCGGAAGAGGGTCTCCAGCTCCAGGCCCACATCCAGCTTGGTGGGGTCAAAGACAACAAAGATAAGGTCGGCTCTGTCGATGAACCACTGGCACACATCGTTGAAGGGATAACCTTTGGGGGACAAAAGGGAAAAGTCAAGCTGAGCAGGCTTCACTCAGAGACCCTTACACCTCCTGTCAGAGTCAAACCACTCCCTGGGTGGGACAAAGTAATCACATCATTAAAGAATCAATTGCTGATCTCCTGCCTCTTGCCAACCTTTAATCAAAAAATTGCTTTAATCTGTAAGACTCCAGAGATGCAAAATACTTGTTCAAAATGGAGATTTTCCTCCTGTGTAAAAAATAAATAAATAAATACTCAAAGAGATCTGGGACAACAGCAACAATACTAAAGGTCAAAAATTAGGGAGTTGGAAGAACACAAAAGAGGAAAGAAAGAGGGGTGGGAAACTGGGAGTCTAGAGGCAGCACTTTGGAACAGCGAGTTAACAGCCAGCTCAGGACCAACTGCTGTACTTCCAATCCAGCTTGCTGCTGATGCTCCTGGGAAGGTGGCAGAGGATGGCCCAAGTGCTTAGACCCCTGTATGAGACCAGGATGGGGCTTTTGCCCAACCCAGCTCTGGCCATTGCAGCCAGCTGGGGAATGAACCAGTGGATGAAAGAGCTCTATCTCTCCCTCTCTGCAACTCTTTCATGTTAAATAAATTAATCTTAAAATAAAACTTCAAGGTAAAAAAGGGAGTGGGTTCCCATGTTGTGAAAAATGGAATAAGAACCAGTTTTCTGAGTATTAAATGTTCCTAAACTCTAGCTTTTTAGATACCAAATGACAAGAACAAGGGCCTAAATTGAAATAAATATTGCTATGATGCCAACCATTTAGGAAAGCACCCAACTGAAACTGCCAGTCACAGAGCAGAAGTTCATTGTATCTGAATTCTTTTAATTTCTTTTCCTCTTCTTATTTACAAGGTGAGAAGGAATACTTGTCATGAAAACACTGAATTTATTTTTTCATAACAACTGATGCCTAAAATTATTCAATTCATAATGGAGATATGATGAAGTTCACTCACTATTATAATGCAGTAATGATTAATGATTAACAATAATGGCTAATAATGATTAACAACAATTGTCATTAATAAAAATTGAGTCTAATTACAACCAAAATGGGATTATCACGAGGACCAGGCCATCTGGTCAAATATGGCTATATGTGCCACGCGCAGGACACAGACAACCTTGATCTTGGTAGCTTTCCATGGCCCATGTCAGAGCTTCCTGCCTTTCAGACCCAAAGTGGCCTCCCCTGCCACCTGCAGGCAAAAAGCAGGCCTGGTCAACCGCCAAGACAAACCCACTGTGGGAAGTGGGAAGGTGAGACACTTCAAACCTGGGGCACCACAGTGCAGGTAGAGGCCGCATGTCCTGGTCTTGGACAACATCAGTCATATTTTCTCTCCCTTGTCTGCCTGTTACTCAACATTAAAAATAGTTTCCTAATGCAGAGTTCAGGCTGTCCAGAGATGAGGGCTAAATTACCTCTTTCTTGCTGCTTGCGGTTCTCAATGATGCCTGGTGTGTCCACAAAAGTGACCCGCTCCAGAAGTTTGTGGGGAACCTCGATGCCGATGAGCTTCTCCAGGAAATTCTGGCCAAACTTCTCAAGGGGTGAGAAGGAGCGGGCACTATCTGCAGCCATGACAATGCCCTCTATGGTCTTCAACTTGGGCCCGTGCATGAGGACCGTGAACTCTGAGGTGGTGGGCTCGGCACCTGCTCATAGGTGAGAAGCATGGGAACATGGTGACTTCTAGGGACAGACCCACTGCAGCCAGTGTAGGTGAGCAGGGGTCTCAGTGAAGATTTTGCCAAAGAGGATATGTTTGCTTAAGCAGTTTATTACTAATTGTGGTCAAATGCATGGACACACAAAATTTGAGATTTCAGCCATTTTTTAGTGTACAATGGTTCTGGGGGATTAAATGTGTTCACTCTGTTGCATAGCCATCACTACTGTCCAGCCTCAGAACTTTTTCATCTTCCTGAAATGAGATTCTATCCTCAATAAATACAGCTCCCTAACTATCACCCCATCCCATTACCCCTCCCTCGCCACCACCCCAGCAGGCAAAGTTCCACTTTCTGTCTCCATAAATTTCCCATCTAGGTATCTCGTATGAGCAGAATACAGCCCTTGTTTTCTGCATCCGGCTTGTTTCACCCAGCTCGGTGACTTCAAGGCAGCGTGGGCCTGACATACCCTGATAGCCATGGCCCTTCCTTTCTAGGGCTGACACTTCATTACACAGGGGGGTCCAAATCTGGGTCAACTATCCCTCCACTGCTGGGCATTCAGGCTGTTTCTACTTTTTCTGACTGTTGTAAATAATGCCAGTTTCTTTTTACAACCACACTGAAGACATTTAGAAATACTTTCACTTTTCATAGCACTTTTATAAAATCCAAATACCAACAATCTCTCTCTTTCTCTCCCTCCCTCTCTCTGTCTCTCACACACACACACATTACCTGTATAGAGCTGGTAGCGTGTATCTTCCAACCCAAGGAGGTAGTTTATCATGGTGGATTTACCAACACTCCACGGTCCCAGGAATAGCACCATAGGCTTGGAAGTAATTTCCCCATCTGTAAGTAACAGGAATTAGAAACACAAGTGAACTAACTAACAAAGGGCTGTTCCTGTAGGAGGGCCACTGCTCTCTGAAGCATTCTGCATGTCCGGCCCTCGTCCAGTTAGGCAGATCAGACAGGTGTAGAGCACTCGGTGACACTTTTGCTACATGTTAAATGCAATTAATTGCTCCATTAAGAGAATGGATATGAGGCCAGGAGTTAAGATGCCACATGGGATCTGTATCCCGTATCTGTTTCCAGCTCCACCTATGATCCCAACTTCCTTCCGGTTGCACCCTGAAGAGCAGGAGGTGACAGCTCCATGGGTGGGTCCCTGCCACTGACAGGGGAGCAGGGGACTCCAATTCATTCACTGTCACGGGCATCTCGAAAATGAACCAGTAGATGGATGATTCATTCTCTCATCCTCTCTCTCTCTCTCTCTCTCTCTCTCTCTCTCTCTCTCTCCCTCTCTCCCTCCCTCCCTCTCTCCCTGTGTCCCTACCTCTTTCTCTGCCTTTCAAATAAACAATGAAAGTAAATAAACAAAAATTAATGCAACAAATGACAGAAGCAGTTATTTTGTCCTTTCTCACATCTGTGGCACAGCTGCTGGCACCAGGAGGATCTAGGTGAATTCACTGTGCAATGTTCCTGGCTCCTGGCTTCTACCTGGCCCAGCCCCAACTATTCTGGTCTTTTAGGGAATGAACCAAAGATGCAAGATCTTTTTATGTCTCTCTTCTCTTCCTGTGGCACTCTGATTAAAAAAAAATATATATATATATATATATATATATCTTCTTGGGCCCAGCGCCGTGGCCTAGCAGCTGAAGGCCTCACCTTGAATACGCCAGGATCCCATAAGGGCGCCGGTTCTTATCCCAGCAGCCCCACTTCCCATCCAGCTCCCTGCTGGTGGCCTGGGAAAGCAGTCGAGGATGGCTCAAAGCCTTGGGACCCTGCACCCGCGTGAGAGACCCCGGAGGAGCTCCCGGCTCCTGGCTTCAGATTGGCTCAGCACTAGCCACTGCGTTCACTTGGGGAGTGAATCATTGCACAGAAGATATTTCTCTCTATGTCTCCTCTTCTCTGTATATGTCTGACTTTGCAATAAAATAAATGTTTTAAAAAACAAAAAATTTATTAAAAATTAGCTTCTAGGGCCCAGCACAGTTTCCCAGTAGCTGAAAGTCCTCGTCTTGCATGCACCAGAATCTCATATGGCTGCCGGTTCATATCCTGGCTGCTCCACTTCTCTTCCAGCTCCCTGCTTGTGGCCTGAGAAAGCAGTTGAGAATGGCCCAGGGCCTTGAGACCCTGCACCCGAGTGAGACACCCAGAAGAAGCTTCTGGCTCCTGACTTCTGATTGGTTCAGTTCCAGTCATTGCAGCCACGTGGGGAGTGAACCAGTGGATGCAAGATCTTTCTTTCTGTCTCTCCTCCTCTGTAAATCTACCTTTCCAATAAATACAAACAAATATTTTTAAAAATTAGTTTCCAAAATCTGAGACAACTTTGTCAGTGTCCAAAACCACACAATTAAGCATCTTTGAGTTCCAGGGGCCAGTGTCCAGATTCAGTGTCCAGAGGCCATATAGGGAGAATACCCTGCAAGGTATTTCCAAAAGAAAAGCAGAACTGTCTGGTGCTTTCAAAGCCAGGGGTGCAGAGCGAGGGTAGGAGGCCTTCGACCTGGCTTGTGGTCAGTCTCACTGCTGGTTTACAGCCTCAGGTCCTCCCTTGACTGAAGCCCTGAGGACCAGCTGTGTCAAATAGAGCACTGGAGTCCCAGACCTCTTCATCACCCTGACCTAACAGCAGGCCCAAGGGCTGGCATTTGGTGCAGCAGCAGATTAAGGTCCTGCTTAGGACATGGACACTCCATTTCTGAGTGCCTGATTCAAGCCCAGTCACTCTGCCTCTGATCCAGCTTCCTGGCTGGATCAGGACTCCTGGCTTCAGCCTGGCCTGGTCCTGGCTGTTATGGACATATGGGGAAGATATGTGGAGGTGGGTGGAAGGATTCCTATTGCTCTTTCTTGCTCTGCATTTCACATGAAATGAAAATAAATAAATAGAATTTTAGAAAGAAAGTGTAGGCCCTATTCTTTTCCTGAATTTTTTTTTACCATTTTACTGTATTTAATGTCTTAATTCAAAAATCAGTAATATAAAAAAGTTTAGAGTGAAAAGTCTCCCTTCTCCGTCCCCAACCTGCCTTGAACCTAGCTAATGCTGCTAATTTCTGATATGCCACGTCAGACACTCACACACGTGCAAGCAGTACCCTTACTTGTCCACAGTGTCTGGTGTTTGACACGGCAAGGACGCAGTGTACCTCCTGTTGTGCACCTTCATTTTGATGCAATGGTTCTCTTCTTCTGGGGCTTTCTTTATATCCTAGAGGACTAAGCTGGTAACCCTTAATTGGTGAGCATATCTGTTTCACCTCAAAGGGCTGAACCTCTCCCACCTGTATGGCTGTCATCCAGAAAGGGAAAGGATGGCCGAGATGGTGGCAGGAGTTCCCCAGGAGATTTTAAAAATGGTTTTACATAGGCCAGGTGGCGTGAAGGAGGATGTGGGACCCACAAGCACCTAGACAAACTACCATCATGGCCTTTCCGGGTGGCTGCCACCCCGGCTTTCTACAGCAGGGGGCAGCGTGGGCATGTGCAGGCTAGGACATGGCACAGGGCGCTGGCGGGCGGCTGAGCGCACGCTCCAAGTGCACAAAGTCCAGTCCCGGAGCCAGGAAGCCCTGGGGTGGTCGATGGCCTGCTGGTGCTGTCAGGACAGTGGTTTCCCATTCGAGCCATGCCACTTGGCCTCAGCTGGGAGAGAAGGCAGGTGCCGGGGAAGGAACAGAGCCCTGGGGCGATCGAGAGGGGGAGAGGGGTACCTCCGCCACAGAGCCGGGATAGGACTGGCTGCGAGGAACAGTAGAGTACAGGCAGCCCCAGGACTGGGTTTCCCTTGGAGGAGAACCAGGAAGTCACGACCCTAATTCCAGCTCTGTGATCCTGTGGAAACCTGCGCTTCTCTGGGCACCATGTTCTTCTGTTATTGAGACAAGTGGAAGGAGGCTCCTAGATATTCATGGAAAACGCAAATTAGGGAGGAACTGGACATAGATGCTAACTTATCTGGCACCAAAATTAGCTTGTCTTCTGCTTTCATTTTCTTTTTTTTTTTAATTAAAAAAAATTTTTTTTATGGTAGCATTTTGTATAGGGATTCTCCCCTCTCTCTCCCCTTTCCCCCTCCCATTTTCCATTCCCACCATTTCCCAACCATATATATTTTTAAATATTTTATTACTTATTTTTATTAGAAAGTTAGATTTTACAGAAAGTAGGAGAAACAGAGAAAAAGATCTTCTGTCTGATGATTCAAGTACTGGTTCACAGAGTGTGGTGCATTTATTCAAAATAGGAGCAGGCAGCAATCAGCGGCCAAGAAGGGCTCTGTCCACACGTGGGTACAGATGCACGCGCTCAGCACACAAGGCATATGGACACACACGTACAGCCGTGCACGCGCAGATACACACATGCTCAGCACACACTCATGTGCACACACACAAGTTTGCCCAATCTGATCCCATCTTTCCTAGAAGAAGATACATTTCTGTATGTTCACACATGCACAGGAAAATCTGCAAGTGTTCACAGGAAACCACAACTGTGGGAACAGAAATAGAGAACTTGGAGAGCAAGAAAGGAATTTTTATTTTTCAACATATGAGATCATCAAAAATTCCACACTACCTCACTCCCTCTTTCTCCCTTTGCCTTTCAAATAAGTTAGCCTTTTCAAAAAATTCAACGGAGGAGCCAGCATTGTGGCAGCACAAACTAAGCTGTCTCCTGCAGCATCAGCAGCCTATACAGGTGCTGGTTCAAATTCCATCTGCTCTACTTCTGATCCAGGTGCCCAATGGTGTGGCTGGGAAAGCAGCAGAGGATGAACCAAGTCTCTGGACCCCTGCCACCCATGCAAAAGAAACCTGAAGCTCCTGGCTTTGGTCTGACCCAGCCTGGGTTGTTGTGGCTATCTGAGGATTGAAGCAGCTGACGGGATATCTCTGTCTCTCTGTTCTCCTTCTCTCTCTGTAACTCTGCCTTTTAAATAAGATAAATAAATCTCTTTTTTTTTAATTCCAAGAAAAATGTACATTGGAGGATAATTATGCAGGAATTTCAAAAACAAAACAGCATCAAAATAAGTTATCCTCCATGAACTTTTTGAAGTATCTTCATATACTGTTCTGCAATACTAGAAAATTTTGTGTGTGTGACAAGTGTATTTGTCTGTATTGTTTTAAAAACCAATTTTTAAGGGAGGCTATGCATCAAGTGTAACAGGAACGCAGGAGGACTCCAAGCCAATCAGGTGACATGGACCTCAGCCATCAGGGAGTAGGCCTGGTGGGCCCTTCAGCACAGGTGGATGGAAGCTGGGGTCATTGCCTTGAAGTCAGAACCTCTCTCTCTCTCTCTCTCTCTCACACACACACACACACACACCCCCCAGGCATGCAGAGGTGAACCGTACCCTACCAGACCCTTGAGGCAAGAGCACTCTTGTGTGAAGTTGTTTGGAAGCATGCAGCCCTGCACAGCTGTGTGGGCAGCAGCAGGCCGGGGGTGGAAGGCAGTGACTCTGAGACGGAGAGCCCCACCCAGGGCTGTACCTGTGATCTCATGCTGGCGCAGCTCGTGGTATTTGTAAGACTGCTCCAGGGGCTTGATAGACGAATGGTAGATTTTTCGGAGCCGCTGCAGTACCGCTGAGGACAGATGGGGCAGGGGAGAGTGTCAGGCAGGGTGTGCTCCAGGCAGTCCTTCTGCTGTAAAAGGGCCCCACCCCCTGGGCAGTTCCTCTGTTTCCCGGTGGATAGCTGGGGTGCTCAGATGCCCAGTAACTCTGCCACACGCCCGGAAGAAGCCAGTGCACAGGTGGACCCTCAAAACTACTTAAGACAACTAAGAGGCCCATGTCCCATACTGGAGCGCCAGAAGCCCCCGTCCCAGCTGTGGCTCCTGACTCCAGTTTCCTGCATGCAGCCCGGGAGATGGCAGGTGACACCTTAAGCACTTGCGTTCCCACCCAGGAGCCAGTCTCTGACTGTGTTCCTGAACACTGGGTTTGGTCCCACCATTTGAGGGCTTTTGGAGAATGAACCAGCCTGTGAGGGTTATCTGTCTCTCTTCCTTCCTTCCCTCTCCCTAACTTTCAAAGAAACAAATAAATGGATACAAAAGCCTCTTGACTTTTCTTTTTCTGTTTTAACCGACTCCTCCCTTCCTCCCGCCTCAGCAGTTTTTCTGAAAACTGGCTGATACCTGAAGATCCTTTGGAAGACAGGAATCCCACCTCTTTCTCTCTGCTGTCCACCCCTTCAGCCCAGGTGCCAGGGAACCAGAGGCCAGCAAGCCAGCAGGGTAGTAACCCCTGGCCTTGCCGCTCCATGGATCCGGATGCTCCTGAGATGAGCACAGTCCCAGAGCAAGGCTGGGAGCTAGACAGGCGTGAAGGGCAGCCTGCTGCTGTCTAGCTCGATGACCCAAGCAGTCACAGCCTTGCTCTGCACTCTTACTACCTCATCAGCTTCAACAAGTAAGGGCTTTAACATTTTAAAATAAAGGGCACAGCACAGTAGCCTATTAGCTAAAGTCCTTGTCTTGGATGCACCAGGATCCCATATGGGCGCCAGTTCTAGTCCCAGTGGCCCCACCTTCCATCCAGCTCCCTGCTTGTGGCCTGGGAAAGCAACTGAGGACAGCCCAAGGCCTTGGGACCCTGCACCCGTGTGGGAGACCCAAAGAAGTTCCTGGATCCTGGCTTTGGATCGGCATAGCATCGGCCGTTGCGCTCACTTAGGGAGTGAATCATTGGCAGAGGATCTTCTTCTCTGTCTCTCCTCCTCTCTGTATATCTGACTTTCTAACAAAAATAAATAAATCTTGGGGCCAGCACCATGATATAGTAAGTCAAGCCTCCACCTGCAGTGCCAGCATCCTATAAGGGTGCCAGTTTGGGACCCAATTGCTCCACTTCCAATCCTGCTCCCTACTAATATGCCTAGGAAAACAGTGAAAGATGACTCAAGTCCTTGGAACCCTACACCCATGTGTAAGAACCAGAAGAAACATAAGGTTCCTCACTTCAGACCAGACCAACTCCAGACATTAAAGCCATTTGGGGAGTGATACAACAGATAAAAGATTCTCTTGCTCTCTCTTTCTCCCTCTCCGTAAATCTGCCTTTCAAATAAAAATAAATAAATATTTAAAAATAAATGCATAAGTAGATCTTTTTTAAAAAAGAAAGGGTGGTTTTCCACTTGCTGGTTCAGGCCATATAGAAGCAACAGGAAGTCCCTAGAGAAAATCCCCCAGTGAGGAGATCAATGCTGACAGAAAAGCCCACAGCCAAGGGCATTTGCCTCAGATAGCTGCAGATCTCTATCCACATCACAGCAACTGTCACCTTCCTGTCTGCCTGCCACACTGAAGCAGTATATTTTACTAAATCTAACTCTGCTCACTCCTCTCTGTATTCCAATCTGGTAAATTTTTCCCATCTCTCATGACCAGACCTCAATTTGTCGCCTCCTGTGACACTCCCCAAATGGCCACAACAGTCAGGTGGAAGCCAGGAACCAGGAATGCCATTCTGGTTACCCATGTGTGCAGCAGGGGGCCAAGTACCTAGGCCATCTTCTAGTGCCTTCCCAGCTACCTCACCAGAAAACAGAATGGAAAACAGAGCAACCAGGACTCCACATGGAAAACACTGGCCCCAAAGGGGGTGCATTCTTACTAATCCCCCACTCCTGCCAGAGTGCACAGGTTAGTACATCCCACACCATACACCAGCATTAGCCTCCATGCCCTCACTGTCTCACTGGCTGGGACCACATTCCCCTCTCTGCACATATGGAACCCCCAACCTTGGTCTCTGCTCACAGAAACAACTCCACACAGTCCCCCAGGCACAGGAGCCCTCTTCCCTTGGGGTCCTTATCACCTCACAGCCTCCCCACCCACCACTGCAGCCTAGCTCTCAGTCACCTCTGGAGCTCTGCCTGGCCACCAGCCTAGCCCTGTCCTGCTCCTCTGGTTACCTGAGTAGTCATCAGTCGGCTTGTCCTCATTCAGCATCAGGGTCTTCTCGATGTGCGATCGATCCCTCATCGGGGCTTCCTCACTCACATCTTCTGTCTCTTCTGCGGAGAGAAGCAGACAACTGAGCACCAGGCCCCTCAGAAGACAGACTAGAACTGGGTCTGCAGCAGCAAGTGCTAAACTGAGTTCTGTCTTTAGGATGGAACAAGAAAACCTGTGATCCAGATGATTAAGCTAACAGGTACTTACTGGGAATCTACTAGGTACTGATGACCACACCAGGAAGGCAGTGGTATCCAAAACAGGCACAGAACAGCACTGGCCCTTAGGGAATTTTCCTAGAGCCCAGTGATCAGAAAGCCAAGAAAGTCTCTACCACAGTGTAACACACTCATGTGTCACTTGGCCTTGAGGATGCATCCTGAGAAATGTGGCATCAGACCATGTCAGCGTTTCTACAGAATCCTCAACAGTCTGGTTGGCTACACACCTGAGCTCCAAGTTCAGTCCACACTTCCAGCTGCTGTAGTGAACACCACAGGAACTTGACACAGTGCTCATTATTTACATCTCTACACAGCAGAGACACAGCAAAAATGTTAAGTGACAGGACTGCTCCAGCTCCACAACCATCTTACAGAACCACGCCACACTCCGGGGCATGTGGTCCATCAGGAAGCAAAACATCATTGTCCTCCGTGATGGTAACCATGCACAGCGAAGTCGCCATGGAAGCAGGCATTCCTAAAGAAATGTGCCTAGACAGACCTACCAGGGGACTGCAGAATTAGTCAGGTGGAGGGGAAATCGGGGTGCTGGGAAAGCCCCTGACAGGAAGCAATAGGGCAGATGGTAGTAGGGAGGAAGGGACCTGAGGGAGTCACGGGTTGGCATTGGCAATTCATTCCAAGGTAAGGGTGGCCATCAGTGGGCATTTCTCAAGATCACATCAGCTGGGTGCAGACAGGAGGAGGAAGCACAGTGGGGCCACCTGTTCTCCCAATCATGAAAACAAAAATATCCAAGCCTGCTGCCCTTCAGGAAAGGAGATGCTCACATCTAAGACCATGGCTGTTTCTCCCCAGGCTTCCTGCACAGAATCCTAAGAGATCAGAAAGATGGACCTAGGCCTACAGTGCAAAGCAGGCAGGCTGCCAGGGGATGAAGATTCAATATGCCTTGGGCAGGCCAGACCCAAGCAGTCCCTGACCCAGAATACAGAAGGCAGAAAATGAGGAGGAACTTGAAGACGGAAGCCCCAGCCTTCCCTTTCTGGAAGGTACAAGAACCTGACCAATGATATGTAAATCAAACTCTGCAGGGAAATGTGGTTGGAAAGCAAACTGGGAAAGTGAAGCCTGGGCCTTAACCCACGTTCACAGCCCACCTTCTGGTTGGCTGCAGCAACTGGGCTTCTGGGGCCTGCAGGGTCCTGATCACCCCAGGATTAGATGGATCTCAGATGTTGCCCAATGGCTGTGGCCCCATTCTCCCCCACTCTTTTCCTGTCCCCAGCCTTTTAAGGGTGGCTGCCACTGCTTCAGATAGGCATTTGAAGGACTTAGTCCATCTGAGTTCTTCCATCAAAACACGGCTCCTAGTGCCAGTTCTCCATGCTGACCTATGGCTGCATTTTCAAGCGGATGCCAAGGTATCAGCCCAAAAAGTTGTCACCTGCATGGTTTGCTCCACTAACTCCCTGCATGTCAATGTACCAGCTGGCCTCAGGACCTCAAACCTGGCACTAGTGTCCTTGCTCCTCTGTCCTCTATCCTTAAGGTCTGGATCCCTCTGTGACCCCTATACTCAGTCCCTCCAAAATGAAAGGTGCCTCCAAGAACTGGTACCCTGGATAGGGCCCCTATCTAGCCAACCCGGGACTAACCCGGGCTCTCCTTCCCCACTCTGCCCCTTCCTGTCCCATTTCACGCATAGCTGCCCGAGGTTCCTGGGTGGCTTTAACAAATTCATCCCTACCCTGGGGGGCAGTTAGGGAACTCCCTGAGCCCTCATGTCCCTCTCCAGGTTCCTTTGGCTCAGTGTCCTTGCTGCCTGCAGGCCTGGAATTCAAGTCCTCCATGCCAGGCTGACCCTCTCCCCCGGCAAGGCTTGCAGTTCCTCCTGCTTCCAAGGGCTCCCGAGCCTCCTCAGAGGCAGCCCCTGCTTCTTCTGAGCTGGCTCCATCACCGCTGTCTTCTCCAGAATCTTCCTCACTTTCACCTTCCTCATCACCCTCTTCTTCAGAGGAGGCCTCCTCTTCCTCCTCCTCCTTGGGCATCACTGGTGCCTGGCTCTCAGCAGGGTGGTCCCCCTCCATGCTCCTTGCCTCGGAGCTCTGGGTGCCCACAGACGTAGTGCTGGCCTCCGCAGCGGGGCCAGTCTCCTGGCTGGGATGGCGCTTCTCATGGTCCTCAGCCCCCTGCCTGACTTCTGCATGCACGTCAGCCTCTGAAATTTCTTCCACAGACACAACATTGGCAGCTCCATCTGGTTCTGTGGGCCCCTGGCCATGCCCAGGGACGCCATCACCTTCTGTATCCAAGGTGTGGACCTGCTGCCGGTCCTCAGCCTCCTGCCTGGCTTCTGTGTCCACATCCGCCTCCAGCCCTTCTTCCACAGCATGGGGGGCTCCATCTAACCTGGCGTGGCCTTTGTCTTCTATCTCCAGTGTGTGGCTCTCCTGGTCCTCTGAGGCAGGGGAGGCTGTGGTGGCTTCAGACTCTGCCGTCTCTGCAGCTGCTCCTTGCTCCGGGTTGTCCCCTAGGATCCCTTCAGCTTCCTCAGGAACCTTGCCACTCCCAGCCTGGCTTTTTATTTCCCCGCTGGCAGCTCCCTGCAAGCAGGGCTCCTGCCCAGTCACTTCCTCTCCTGGTCCCTCTCCCGAACTGAGCTCTGGCCTCTCCTCTTGCAAGGACCCTTTATCCCTTCCTGCAGGAAGGGTGCTCGCTGCTGCTGGGCCCTGCTCTTCCCCAGGCCCCGCGGCATCCCCAGATGGAGCTGACTCAGTGGCTGAGGCATTGGGGAGGCTGGCTTCGGACTCGGAGCCCGGGCCGGTGGCAGCTGGAGGGGCCCCAGCGGCGGTGGTCCACTCCGCACTCTTGGCCGCCCTGCTGTCTGGGTAGTGAAGGAGCAGGGTCTCATCTCCTGGGGCCGCGTCTGCATACAGGGCCCTTTCTTTCTCCTCTAGACTTGCGTCTCCAGCAGAGAAATGATTCTCCAACAAATTGCCAACATCTTCTGTACCACCCGAAGCAGGGACTTGCAGTTCTAAATGATTAGAATATGATTGGTCAGTTTCACAGGGCTGGCACTGGCTCTGTGTCTCAAAAAAGTCTCACGTCAACCTAGGCCCCCTCCTGTGGGAGAGCTGTGTGGGCTTGGCATGGAGCATGACGCCCACCTCCCCAGGGTTTCCATGACAACCCTGTGTTTAGCGAGCACAGCAGGTGTTATCCTGCCTCCCTCCCAAGTGGTGGAAACTGTGGACAGACTTGCTGTCCATCATGAAGGAAGCTGGTAGTCACACTGACCTGAGAATCTGAAAATTCTGACCTGACCTCAGACTTCCTGCCTAGGTCCTGATCACTGTATGTAGGTGGAAACTTGGACGAAACCTTCCAGGCCTTTCTCAACCTTGCTGATGGGCACGTGCAGCCCAGCTCACCAGGAGATCCATCCAAGAGAGGACTTCATGACTCTCATTAAGCAGGGTGCTTTTTATACAGCTCTCAGCAAAGGAGTGAAAACAGGTGTCTACAGGCCAGATAATCTCATGTTACAAGGCAAAGTACTTAGGGGATTACATGTGGCTCTCATCCTTATTAAGTCACACATCCAACTCTGTCCCCTTAAGGGCAGGCATTTGCTGGCCTGGCTGTGTTAGAGGGACCAGCCTGTGCAGGAGATAGCCAAAACTGGCAGAGCCTGGGCTTCCCGATGGCCTCAGCCAACCCCTTCTAGGGGATTCCCTTCTAAGGGCTGTAGCGTCACCTAGAGAGCACAGGCAGGGCACAGGAAGAGCAAAGCAGGAGAGCAGAGCAGGGCCTGGTCTGCGCCAGAGACCTCTGCCAAGGGTCAAGTTTAGAACTGTGGGAGCAGCAAAAGGAGAGGGTGGCAGGGGTTGAAAGCTGGGCTCTGTTTGAGGAGGAGGCAGCTGGGAATGAGTGGACCAAGGCTGCCCTGTTGTGGGGAAAGGAGACTAAGACAAGTACAGTCTCCTCGTTTGACTGCTTCTCAAACCACACCTGGGCTCCCATCTCTGCCTCCTAAAACAAAGCCTCAGATTACCCCCCAGGTGTTCCCAGGGAGCTGGGTCAGCCAATAGGAATTAGGAGAGAGTATTTCCTCGTTGGACCCCAAAGACAGCCAACCTCCTGTCAAAATCTGAAGGAAGGGAAACTGTGAAGCCTTTTACCGCCGGAGAGCCTGTGTGCTGTGGAAACCTCCTCCCGGCACTATCATACACTTGAGTGCATCTCACCACCATGTTGTCAAGGCTGAATTACTGAAAGTCTTTGATCTGCCCCGAGACACATGGCCACGGGTGCACCCAGAGCCATCAGCTCCAGCGGCCAGGCTTTCTACACCATATGCTTGGGGAACCTGACTGTAACCTTCCCTGCCTGCGTGTGCCTTCCCTCTAGAATGCTCTGGGCTGCTCCTGACCCCTTACAGATTTTTCAGGAATCAGTTCCTAAATTTGTGTTCCCACTACCTGGGACACACAGAAAAAAGAGAGATACACGGTTAAATTTGGGTACCAATAAAATTCCTGATCCCTCAGTTGGAGGCAGCATGGGGAGCTAAACATGACCCATTTAAGTTTTCTTTCACTACCACCTAAATATCTTCCTGTAAGTCTTTCATCTCCAACACCAGAGAAGTCTCTGGCAGCAAGTTGACTTAACCTAAAGAGACTGACAGCCTGTGAAGTCAGTTCACAGACATGCTCAGTGTCCCAGGTAAAGCAGCTATACTTCATATGTACAGTGTGATCTTCATCTTCAACTGAATGTGTGGATTTACTCTGAGATGCTTCTGGAAGGCAAACTTTACTCAAGTACTATGCCCACTTCACAGATGAGAAGACAACACTCAGAGGCACTGGGTGTCTCAGCCCACGGCACAGCAATAGCAGTAACTGACTAAGGCCATCGGACTTCAAAGCTGCAAAGGAAATGGCCTGACCTCTGAACTGGGCTCCACACCCAGTGAGGACTCAAAGCATGAGTGAGACAGCAACATTCCCTGAGAGCCCAAACGAGTGCTGATGCCCAGCCCCAGGCCACACACACAGATCAGAATATGCATTTAACAAAAGGCCCAGTCGGGGAGATGCTGGTCTCCCCTGCACCTCCCTCCTCAGTGGTTTTGATTTAAATACTCTTGCAGGGGTGGGGGACCTACAGCTCACACACAGGCCATGGAAGGACCCCAAAATAATTTGGTCTTGCTCTGCCAAGGCAAATGTAGGACTTGAAATTCAACAAATCCCTAGCAGATCGATTTTTAAGTTGATAATGTTATATGGCCCAGGAATGGTGTTATTAATATTAAAATGATCCATGGCAGGGAAAAACGTCCTAAACCCTGGACACTCCCAGCATGAGGATTCAAGCGACCCTAACAGACAATTCTAAAGCTCAAAGGTAATCCTAACGTGAAAGGCTATAACAGTGTGACTACTAAATGGAATAACCCTGACCTCAAGCCCCTCCTCCCGGAAGGTGCCCATTAGAATCTCCCAGAGCCTGGCATCTCCCCTGGGAACACAAGTGGCTGAGGCTCCTCCAGGGAATCCAGCACTTTTCAGACTCCCACTGCCCTCTGATCATGTGATGATGATGATAATGGTAATGTTGATGACCGTGGTAATGGTGGTGGTGGTGCTGATACGGAGCTCAACAAACTCTAGATATGACCCTCTGTAGGATTTTCAATATTCTCCACAGACCACCATACCCCAGCAGGGACACGAGGGCCACAAAGCCCCAGTGGGGGATGAGAACTCCAAACAGGGGAGGTGTGCCATGGCCCTCACACTGCTGGTTGGGAAGCCCAGCCCTGCATGTGGTTTAGCACGCTTACATCCACATCGTTCACTCCCAGGTTATCACAACTGAGTGCCAAGCTGTCCCTGACCCGTTAAATAATCTGGAGTGAAAAAGACTGAGGGTGGTAGCTTCATGCCCTTTGATCTTCCTTCCCATTTTAAAAATAGCTTCCCTGACACAGCCCACCAATGAAACAAGTTGTCCCTCTGAGCCCCCAGAACTGAATCCCAAGGAAGCAGCTGTCCCATAGGGCCTCACACTCCTCTGGGTGGGCACAGTTAGAGGCTCAAGAGCCTGCAAGGACATTCAGCAAAGCTGGTTCAGTGCCTCTTCCTCTCCCCCAACCACACACACAACCTCCTGTGGCTTCTTGCAGAAGTCCCTACTGGTACCTGGAACAGGGGGTACAGTGAGGGCTCAGAGGACCCCAAGCACACTGGATGTGTTGAAGAAGCCTCGGTCAAGAACATGCAGTACCACACACATGTGCTGTGGCCAAAGCTGCCATCCTGGCCCAGGCAGATCTGGGCGCTGACGTCAGGACACACAAATAGCAGACCCACAGCTCCACCCCAACACAGAAGGCTAAGTGTCTCACTCACCCCAAATGGGGACAGGACAAGCCTGTCCTGCTTCTCTCTCAGCACCCCTTCAACCATCAGCCTTTCCTGGACAAACCTCCTGTCAGTTGTCCCAACAGCCCCACAGCCTCAGCCATGGCCCCAGGCTTAGTTCTTCACCCAACTCCACCTCCAACCTAACATTTCTGCCCCTCCTTCGGCTCCTAACTGGTCTAAAACACTTTCACATAAACTCACAATATAGGGGCTGCCAAGGGCCCTGGTGAGCCAACTGTAAAGGAGCAAGCTCTGGCCAAGAGTCCTAGAAATGTCCCTCCAGCCAGGGTCAGGCAGGGACAGAATCCACACCTGTGGTCCTCAGCCTAGAAGCCCTTCTGCTCCCAAGCACATGTAAGTCAAATGGTTGACCATTTTCTACACATAGTTTGTGCAAATGAGTCATCAATGACCAAATCCCAGAAGAAAAAACTTTTTCTGCTTCTACACCTGGTCCCTTGTGTTGCAGGGAGTTGGGAACCCCAGGCCTGACATGTGGCAGATCCCTGTTCTTCCTGTCGCCCTTCCTCAACCTGGCTGGGGCTTCCCAGAAGCTATCCAGGGCGGCTGGGAGCTCCTCAGGGCTGACCTTCCTTCTCTGATTCTGGCTGTGAGTCAGCTGCTTCTCCTGGTGTCTGTTTTCTCTGATCCTTACTCTCAGAGCAAATGTTCACCCCTCAGAGTCCTTCGTACTGACACTTCCTGGGTGAAGCCCTCGGAGGACTCAACAGGGGGACAATGCCCTTCCAGACTCAGAAGGGAAGTGTTTGCCAGGGAAGGGGTGTCTGTGTCCTCTCGCCACCTGAGACATTCCCTGCAACCCCATGACTTCCACCCCCAGGCCTAGGTGACCGCTGGCTTTCAAGCCAGGCTCCTGAAGTCAAAGCTAACCTCAGTAGGACAGCCTGCACCTGGCCGGCACCCACCCCAAAAACGACCTGCACAGGAGCCAGAATACACTGGATGACAGAGGGAGCATCAAAGGGAACCTTTAAGACAATCAGTTTGATTTCATTCATGCATGGGGCCCTTGATCACAAGGTAACAGCCAGAAGCAGACCTGCAGCCACAGGTTCACTGACACTGAGTGTTTCCACAGCCCAGCCCTCCAGCACTCTGATACCACATGGCATCTGCAACCCCACCCCCAGGCTCACTGGGTCAATGAGTAGGGTTATGTCTGTCTGCCTTAGAATAGCAACTTCTCAATCAACCCTCCTCCACCTCCTTCCACAGAAAAATCTAGTGTCTTCATGTCAAAATGGTATCCCACACATTTTCCTACAGATGGCAGGACTATATTCCTTTTTCTAGCTGTATAATATTCCATTGTGTACCCTTTCTGTGTGTATACCTATTCTTTATCTATTCATCACTTGATATACATTTTTATAGATTCCAAAGTTAAAAAATAACTTTTCAAGTGTTTAAGGATATGGGTATGCTAATTAACCTAACTCAGTCTCTGCATATTGGATACATGCTGTTGAGTTACCACAATGTATTTCACAAACATGCACAATGAAAATAAAAAGGTTAAATCTTCAACACAATTTTTCTATCCTGAAAAGTCCAGAGAATTGGCAGAATATCTTCCTTCCCCTCCATTCTCAATTGCTGGGAACTCCTGGTTTGGTTGGAAGACTCAGAAATACACTGCTGTATGCCCCAGTACCACGGTGTCCACGCGTGTGCTTCACTGAGGACCACAGTATCCACATGTATGTGTCACTGAGGTGTGCACACATGCGTGTCGCTGAGGACCACAGTGTCCACACATCCATATCACTGAGGACCATAGTGTCCACATGTACGTGTCACTGAGGTATGCACACGTGTGGGGAGCTCCTTCGGCCTGGGCTCCTCCCTGCCACCAGCCAGAGCAGCTGGGGTAGGGTTGCAGGCACCCTGGGGTCGCCCTGCTCTGCTCATGTGGTTCCAGCTGGTCTGGGAACAGGAACAGGTCTGAGCTGACAAGATTCTTAAGTTAAGAGCTTGCCCTGGGCCCAGCATGGTGGCCTAGCAGCTAAAGTCCTCACCTTGAAATCACCCAGATCCCATATGGACGCCAGTTCTAATCCCGGCTGCTCCACTTCCCATCCAGCTCTCTGCTTATGGCCTGGGAAAGCAGTCAAGGACAGCCCAAAGCCTTGGAACCCTGCACCCACGTGGGAGACCTGGAAGAAGTTCCTGGCTCCTGGCTTCGGATTGCCACAGCACCAGCCATTGAAGTCATTGGGGAGTGAATCATCATACGGAAGATTTTCGTCTCTGTCTCTCCTCCTCTCTCTAAATCTGATTTTCCAATAAAAAATAAATAAATCTTAAAAAAAAAAAAAAAAGAGCTTGCCCTGCTGAGCCCAGAATAAACCCTTGCAGCCACTGATTCCGTAAGGGGGAGCCCTAACTAAGCTGGAAGCACTGGGGCTACAAGTCTCCCTCTCCCCATGCACCCCCTGTACTCCACCCCACACAAATACATGTGCACAGGACAAGTAAACAGACCCTTCATCAAGGCTACTACGGAGAATGGGTGAAAGGCCTTTCCAGACGTGAGAACAAGTAAGGGCCCTTCAGGACACTCTGAGACAGCCACACAATTGGAGAGAGGCCACCAGCAGTGCCGTTGGCCTCCTCAGCCTCACAGTAAGCCAGCAGGGGACCAGGAGACAACGGGCCCTTGAGAAACAACTGGGGCCTGAGCCAGACAGGAGTCCTGGCCCCCTTGAGTGGCACTTCGCTGGAGTGAAATCAGAGCTAATGTTTCTGTGGTGTGGAGAAGCCTCTACAGGGGCCTGTGCAGCCACCTGCAGCCC